CAGAAAGTCTGTATCGTGTACAAAGCCAGGCTGGGAGAAAGAGGAACAGTGAAGAGATGAAAAGAGAGTCCGGAGGAGAGGGGCGAACGAAAGAGTAAGAGAAAGAGGTGAGAAAAAGGGACGGAGAGAGAAAGGTGGAGGACGATAAAGAAGGATGGATGGCGATGGCGATGTCGATGGAGGAAGAGGGAAAGAGAGGGCAGACTATGCCCGATAAAAAGCCCTGATTCCCACGAGCGTGGATAGCCTACGATGAAAACCTCTCAGCTCGCCGACCACGGCACGGCATTAGAACGTCCACGAGTACCATGTCGGATTTTTCGTCCGCAGACACTATAGCTAACAGCGTAGAACGAGAAAGACAGATACGAGGTAGCGAGAGCGGCGGTAGCAGCAGCACCACCACCACCACCGAGTATCCACGTAACGATTCGTTCTCATTGTACGTGTTTACTAGGCTATGATTATGTAATCACTGGCAGCTACGAGTTTGAGCATTGTTCGAATCGTCGTTGTCTTGCTCGTTGAAGACTTCTCGCTCGAACGTTTTCCCTTTTCCTTTAACGCTCGTCTCCATGACGTGTTCGACGGTAAACGGAATTCCAGCTTCCCCTGCTTCGCGCGAAATGACGCGAAACGCCAATTGCTCCGCTCGAGACGAGCACTTGCGATCGAGTGGTTAGATGGACTGGACGGCCGAAAGAAGCGAGAAGGAGATGCGTTTAAACGAACGAGTATGGGACACTCTGTTCCACATTTCCGAAGATGTTATAGACATCGCGGGCTCTTAAGAAAGACGAACCGTGGATACGAACGAGTCAAATCGCGTACAAAGCGCGAAACACACGCACCAAGTTTGCCCGAAGATCATCGTGGACACGCGTTATATCTTTGGAGAATAATCCGAAAGTCTGAAGTTTCTCACTCGAGATACAAAAGGAATTCTGAAAGCGGAGAAAGATGAAAACAGGAGGTGAAAGGCTCTGGTATGTTAATCGGCTCCAAGTTGAAATTAAGGAAACAAGAGGAGAGTGAAAAAAGAAATATCATTTCTCTGGAGTTTTATTCCAATTCCTCGAGTGCGTCTGTCGGTAATCACTACGCTGGATTTCTTTTGTAGAGTATTATAGAGAAAAAGGAAAGTCGTGTCTCTCTCTCTCTCTCTCTCTCTCTCTCTCTCTTTCTCTCCTCTCGTCTTTTATATTCCCTCGCTATCGTGTTACAATCAATCGCTTTGTCCCGTCGACGTTGTGCAGTCTGTTTAAGCCGATGCTCGACTAACAATATATTCGACAGAGGGAACAGAATGTTCTTCCGTGAAATCGATGCACGACTGTTTCTCGGCCCTGGCGTCGGATAAAATAAAAGATGCCTTCGAACTCGAGCGTAGGATAATGCGACAAGGTGTGTGCGCACAACCCTCGTTCGATCGAAAGCTACACACGGGGATGCATATTCAGCGGGCGCCGCGCAAAATTGACACGCTGCCGCGCCGGAATCCCGTGACAACCTGTACCTCCAATTTAAACGGTTCGACGGAACGAATGGAAGGGAAATTTGGGGTCTATTGTCCTCCAAGAAAGAAATAATTCTCGAGATTCACAACTCGGGGAACCTGTAGCCGGCCTTGGAATTATATCCGCTTCGGAATTTAGGATTCTTCCGACTAATTAGGAAAGTTACTTTTCAAATTTTATTCTCCGTCGGGAAGAGAAAAAAAGATCGCGTTGAAACGAGGAACGTTTGATGCAACGGTGATCAAGCTCCGAATCATGAACGCGAAATTGCACAGTATCACGCGTTACGACCACCTCGCGAAACCAATCACCAGACGTTGTAATCCGACGATGTTCGTTGGATTTTCAATCTCCCGAGCCGCGAACCGTTAATCTCCGCGTGTATTACCCGAGCGTGTCTAGCGGTAATTGTCTAATCACTGTTATCCGTTTAATTGCATAGCGCGTTATGCGTTTCGTGCGCGCTTCGTGAATTCAGCGTTCGTGGATTCTAAAAAAAGAAAAAGGAAGTTAAGGAAGGTTGGTTCGATCCGCAGAATGATAGCAAGGAATCGCTCGAGAAATCGATAGAACCAAATCGTTTTGATAGAAGAAAAGCTCCGCGCGCAGAAATTTCTCGCAATATCTCGTGCAAGAAACGGATGGACAAGAACTCTGAAATATATCCAGCCGGCACAAGCAGCGATACCACCGCCGCTTTTACTATCTCCGATCTTTTACGATCCGCACCGTTACGTGCGTAGGTACGACCTTACCACCGCACCGTAAAGTTTTTTTTTTTAAAAAGTCCCCGAACTACGGTTGTACGGCTCGGTAGAATCGAAAGTAAACCGGCATCAGGGGTATTCGTATGGATGGAACGGTAAAAGTCTGGTCAAGATGGATCCTCGGTCGACTCGGAGCCAACTGTGTTCGACCACCTTAACCGATGTTAAGGATTAAAGCCTCGATGGAAAGCAATCGATCGTAAGTGGATAGAAGTGGATAGGCAAGGAAATAGGGAATGGAGAGACGGAAGGGTCGTCCAAGTTCCTTCATGGAAAGAAATCCGGTGGCGTGATTATCGGGCAGACACGATCGAGGAATTGGAATCACGCTTGAACACGGTATGGCCGTTCTTTCTAATCCGCGACGAGACAAGAACCGGTCGATAAACGCGCTATATATCAGAGGCCTGAAGTACGCCGACGGGATGAGAAAGCTGAAAGGGCTACCGGTGAAAAAAAGCCAGCGAAAATCTGCAGGCGTTTGCCCTACATTACCCTTGCCGCGAAAATTTCTGATATTTCGCGTTACCTGGCTCCTGTATCTCTATACGAAACGTATGGAATTCGAGGAGATCAACGGAAGCGGATTGAAGGTAGAGGCCGGAAAGCTGGAACATCTGAAATTCGAATTGCAAGAAGGATCGAATCGAGTAGATTCTCCGTGTGTCGCTTCGTCATTCGTGCGGTGATATTCCTCTGGTAACTAGATTATCGGAGTAAGTTGGAAAGGAATTTCACTGGATGGAATGGCTCGAAGGAGAATAGCCTATGTTACTGTACTCGGAGAAATTGCCCACGTTCGATTCCGAATAACCGATTCAAAATGTTTTTCGATATTTTATTGAGGTACCGAGCGGTTGCGTGAAATTGTCGACTGGAATTCGATATTTCGTCGAGGTACGAAAGGGCTCCGATGAAACTCGATACATTTGCATTTGCATAAGCTGCGTGGAAAGCTCGCGGGGTATTCGCAATTTGTATCGTTCGCGTGTGCTCGAATATCTACCTACGAGCAAATTAAGTTTTCTTACTCGTATCTTTTATTTCCTTCGTTGAGATATTTGTCGAATACTTCAGCGAAGAGTCCAGCCTAGTCCGTTTTGGTTTTTTCTCTTTTCTTTTCTATCAAAATATATCGATCAAATTCGAAACAATAACCGTAAAATTCTACGAACGAAAGCGTACAATAGGAGCTAAAATTTATACAAATAAACATAAATACGCAAGCATCGAGAACTGCGAACCTTTTTCAGAAATCGAGCGGGACCTTCCTTTTAAATTTCACGAGAAACAAGTACATGGAAACGGCGTGCCCGTTTCAATTTAAATATCAATTGGTTCGGGGAAGAAGATAGACTATGTTGAATGAACGGAACGGATTAAACGAGCCGAGAAATCAGGTGAAAGGTTGAGATACAAATGGATGCGTCTGAGAACAGCAGTCAGCAAGGCTGAAAGAAGCCAGAGCCGTTACTGCTCGTACTTCCGAGGGAAAAAGAGATACGAAACGGTTTATTCTCAGCTCGCGCGTATTTTCTTTTGGATCGAGATGCAGCCGCGTTCCTCCAGAGAATGTATTATTTCTCATTGCGAAGATGTGGATCGATAATGTTCGTCTCGTTTATACAGAAGGCTCTCTGTGGCAGACACTCGTTCCGTGAACATCGTGATGCAACGCGTTGTGACTGATTGTCCTTCGTTCGACTGAAAAGCCTTTGTCACTCTATACATACACGCTCTTTGCTGAACGCGTCAGCTTCCGGAGACGCGGAATCGCAGGCGCGGTAAACCGAAAACGAAAGAGTAATCGACCTGCCCGTCCAATTCTTACATTCTGCCAGAATCTCTGTCGCTCGTCCAACGAAATTACGTAACACGTAAGTACGCGATTCGTCCATCTCCTCTTCCGAAAATGCATTCGAGATTTCTCCGTTATCTTTTCAGTATCGCTTCCAAAAGCCTTAATTCCATTGTCGAGTATTTTAGTTGCCGCCGAAACTCTTAACGTCAATTTCGATAAGTCGATCTCTCCAACTCTCGACGAACACCCTCTTTCATCGTTGCGCGGTACGGCGCGGCGGAGTAAAGTAAACCAAGACTTTGCACCCAAAGAAATACAATGACCCGCTTCGAAGGCTGACCGAGCTCGATTGTTCGAGTCTGCCAACTTGCCATATAAAATCCAAGAATTACAGTTGAATGTAAGTGGAGTTACCGTTCAATGAATTTATAGGGGCTGGCTTAATTTCAAGCGTCAGCTTAACTCGCGGCGAAGGGTAAATTAGATAGAAGAAGACAACTCTCTTCCATAATTTAATGCGAGGAACTCTGCGTTTACTCTGATGCTTTAATTCCAACCACTCGGCGCGCGCTCTTCGGCAAAGGAAAATTGAGGGTCCGTTGATAAATCGAGATTACGGGCTAACCGTTGCCTCGAGCTCGCTACTTTCTATGGAAAGAATGGCACGGACATAGCCATGAGAAATCGTTGCTCCACTCCGCTTGTTATCTTTCTGTAGAATATAGAACGTAAATTATACGAGCACAGTGGTGGTAATCTCGAGGAAATCGGAGGAATCCTGCGTAATATGTATGTGTTTCGAAGATAAGCGAAGCGATTGCGATGCAACTTGATTCGTTATGTTCTTAGGATTATTGACAGCGATATTATCGGTACGCTACTACATAATTTCTTCGACTCGTGCGTGCTGCTTACCAAAATCTCGAAGTATACGGTTTTCGACTTCCAATTTTTCCGATTTCTACCTGCAACAAAAGAAGACCAATTATATTATTAATACGGGTGCAGATGTTAAGATTACTAGCTTTAAAACGCATCTTTATCGCCGGGAGCATTCGATGATACGAGTTTGCTAATGCCTCTTCTCCGATTAAATACGATTCGTGTATTTTTTTCCATTTACTTACTCCCGAAAGGATATATGTATCGAGAACCTTATACCTCTATCGGATAAATAAATCATCTTCGACTTTACTGCGTGTTGTGAATAAAACAGGACGTGAAATTGAATTCGCTTACAATTAATAATTCCTTTGCGCCAATAATTATCAATACCATTTCGTAGTATTATTTAATCAATACGCTAATGTCAAACTATATTTTGCTGTATTCGATCCTGCTGGATATATTTGATTTTGTTCCTTAAAAGCTTCTTCGTTCACTGTTAACTATGGTCAATTATGATCATTCGAGTAAATGGATTCGACTTAATTTTGATTTAATCCTTTTGTTAAATATCGCTTATCGTACACGATATTAAAGAAAAAACAAACCTATATTATCGAGAGAAAAACATTCGATTACCACTGTACGATCATCTTTGTCAATTTGAATAGAACACAGGTTGCTATGTAACGATACATTGGTTGACCTCGACACGTGTGAAAAATGAGAACGCAAACACTCGTGATTAATTACAACATACGTTGCTCGTTCGCTTATTTATCCTTGGAACTTTTGACAGAAAAAATATCCGTAACGCGAATTCTTCCCACTCGATGTTGTCGTATAAAGCTTTCGAGATTTGCCAAAGTGTCGAACTAATAGCAGACAAATGACGGATTTTTCGTTTCTTCCATCATTGGGATTTGCACACTTTTTAAAGAATAATACGTTGTAATAGTCGAATAAAATTCGTAGAAAGGAGACAGAAGAAATATTTATTCGTCAAATCAGTGAAAGAATCAACAACGAGAAATACCATTTCCCTGGATGACATGGTCTGAAAAGCAAACAAACGTATCGGCGACACGCAGGCAAATCTGGATATTACTTTGGTACATATTTCGTGTTTCCAGTGCTCTTGAGCGTAACGCGAAATCTCTCCCTACAAATTCGATGCAGTTTGAGATAGTAGCGGATAACACAGGAATTCGGAAGGGTAAAAGTCGGCGGATAGAGGGCAAAACCAACCAGAAGAAAAATCCAGATTTTCAATTTGTCGAATACGTACGAAAGACGACAGAATCTCGATTCTATGCACATTTTTCGAGACCGATCTCCGTGAATCTTTCGTCAATGGCTAAACAGACGATCTCCTTTTCTTAATTCTACTCTCGTGCAGTTTCTTTCGCTAACGACGGATTTGTAGGTTTTAACCTCATTGCCCTTCCGTATGCGGACATTTGTTTTTGCGGTCTGTTGACAAATTGCAGTTAAACTAAAGAACTGGACTAAAACGCTCGAAATCTTTATATCGATAAAAATGCAAATTCTTTTGAAAAACATTCAAGAGAGAAATTTTGCTTGGCTCGTCGATTCTTCGAATTTCCTAGCAGAAACGTATAATGCAGTAATAAATAATCTGGATATCTGGAGAATAGGAAACGCGGGGTTGGAAATATTTTAAACGCGTCTATACACGAACAAAAGAGGCGAATCCCGAGTGCGGCAATGTTCATATTGGTCTCGCAGGTCCGCCTGGAACTACTGAATTAAATTTCGTTGGAAAAATTCACGAGGCAAGCAGAGAAAAGAGATCCCCAGGCGAACGCGATGCTGCATACGAACGGTTCTATCTTATTTGTTTTGTATGTTAAACAGAACTGTATATAATGGCATGCAACGTTCGCAGATGAAATCGTTGGACGCACGTGCCCCTTTCTCGGACTCTCCATACATATCCTTGTTATTTATGACATAACAGAAGAGTGTCTGACGCGAGGAAAGAAAGGGACAAGTCAGACACCAGCTTATGATAAAATCGAATTTCTTCCGATCGGATTGGAGAAAGCAAGCTAAAGCGAACAAAAGAGAATATCTGTTCGGTAGCCGTTCGATTTCGATGCTTTTGAATTATTCACTGGGAACTGTTTTATTTCCTTGGTACACCGTGCGATTTGTAACGTCACCAAACAAATTGTCACCTGTTACCGGACTTTTGACCCTTTTAATCCGAATGTCCAATCACCTAAAATGCACCAATACAGCGACATCTTCGCTATTCGAAAATTTGTTATCCGAGTGTCGTATTATACGAAAGTTCCACTATTCGAAGGTTTTATTAACAGAACGATATTTCCTCTTTGCGTCTTTTACCATTACGCGTTCTTTCTACAAGTTTATCGTACGTGTTATTATCTGGTGACGTCATAATGACGTCAGAGAGGAAGTGCGTGATTGTGCCAAGCGTCGGAAGAAAACAAAAGATACGTATTTCGCAAACTAGAAAAATACGCGGAAGTGTTGTAAAAACGACAAGAATCTACGATCGATGGCATCAAGAAGTAGCATTTGAAAAAGTATTTCAGAAGTATTTCAAAAAGTAGAAAATCTTTAAAGGAATTGGAAAATAAATATTTAACCATTGTTGTATAGCAACGATTTTTATTAACATAAAGTAACGATAGAAGATAGCGGAATGCCTGTATCTAGATGTACGTTATGCGAAGAAGTTTCGAAATAATACATATTGCTGTCAAACATCGGAAGTCCTTGTATCGTAAGAAAGAAGATTGCAATGAAAATGACGATAAAAAGCTTCGTTATTTCAAGGTGTTTGTGGCATTAGAAAGAAAATTTAGATCGAAGTACGAGCAGAATGTAAATTCAACGTAGCTTGAATCAACAAATTTATTTAATTTGAAAGTAAGAAAGATATAGAATCCATAAATAATTTTTGTATTATTTTGTACATAGAATAATTCTACGAAAAGAAAGTGTTCTACTATCCGAAAATTCTCCCATCCGTATAGTTATATGTCCCGATTAATTTGGACATGTACCGGAGATTCTAGTGTATACGAATATGTACACCGTACAAACAGTTGCGGGCAAAAGAATTTTTCTTTCGTTATTTGTTCTGTTCGATCGAATACGTCAAACTGAATATAGATTCTATACATAATGACATAATTGGTGCACTATAGGTTATGGGCAGCTAGCTTTCATGGCAATGAATATTTGATCAATTGTTTCTATAAAAGAAAAATGTTACGTTTTTCTTCTGAACAAAGCATTATAAGGAATAAATGTTTACGAAGCAAGCAAAAGAAGCGAGAACGAGCTATAGCGCTTTCAAAGAATAATACGTTTCTTCTCTTAGCAGAAGACTTTTCTGTCCCAACAAAAACATGACCTAAATTCAGAGGCACTGATAAAAGGGGAGTACTCTGGCTCGAACCTAGTTGCAGAACGCCGTTTGATCTTTATTAGATCATTTTGTTAGGGTAATTCTATTACGAGCATAATTGGAAGCTTCGCTTCTCGAATTCCATCTAAATTTGTAGGCGACCTGACATCAATTTTTTAATAAAGCTACGCTTTAATCGGCTATAAATATTCCATATTCGTCTCGAAAGAAACGACTTTCTGCTTGGCTTTTTAATTACCGATAGAAATTCATTTATTTATTTAATTTATCGGTCTCGATTAAATCCCTTTCCTGGATTAATCTCTTCCTTTTACGTTACTTTAGATTAACAGGATATCGTTCATCGAATAGAATATTCTTAAAGAAAATTCTTTTTCCAGATGTTCTTCTATTATAAATTTTATATTTCGCTCTAATTAATTGCTCGTACATGACGCGTTCCTCTTCCGATATTGACTTTGTGATACGAAGTTTCAGTTTACAGCTGACATGTTCGCATTTGGAATTTGCATACATAATGTGACGATTAAAATGGCCATCCCCACCTGACCAATTTGTAGACCCTTTAAGACGTTCGCACACGTGCGTTATTATGGATCAGTCCAACCAATTCTGACAAGATCGTTTACATGTTGCGAGAAATATTATTAAATATTAGTCGTATTAGAAATGGCAACTATAAATAGGGCATTAATTATAGATAATTAGAAAATTATCACGATTCGTTGTTGATACAAACATCCTTTTAAACCGCTAAAGTCGCTGCAATTCCGAAGTGAATAAAATTGTACTTAGACGGAAACAGCGGAGCTATGAAAATAGATCAATTGTCTGGTAAGAATTTGTGTCGCATGAGTAGATAGAAGTAGTCCTCTTTACAAGAATAGTTACGTAATCTCGAAACTGCAGGTCGAATAATAGATATGTTCGTATAATATACATATCATTGTATAATATAACAATAAGTATCTCGTCAGCGATAAAAGCGTAGAATCGATGGATGGTAAATTGACTTTTGCAGCTGTTAAACACCGCGACGCGTGAGACTTAATTTAAAAAACGACTGCAACATTTCTTCGTGGGCTGTTCTCAAAGTCAGTGAACTCCTTGCATTCTTTTAATGAGCTCTTTTAAATTCAGGGCCTGCACGCTGGTCTACCACCTGCATTATGAGTCCAGACGTTCGTTATTTCACAATTACATATGAAATAATATCCCTACCGTTCCATCCCTTTCCTCTGTCGTTGTTGAATTTCGTAGCAACTTGATTTTTGTTTTAATATCATGCACGATACATCGTATCTTGCAACGAGACTCGGGTATATCGTACTGGCTGGCTTTCCCCTCGTAAGACGCGAGTTAATAATAAATTTTGTAACTTTACAAAGCGATGAATCTGGTTGGAAAGATTACGACCAAGATTTCAAAAAATTCGTAAATCGAGAATGCCGGATCTTTACGAGTTGCTGGCAAACAGCTAATTGCAATTGACATTTTCCGATGGATGCTATCGATTCGATGATATTAACCGTCGAATCGCAATCATTTTTACTCGTACACTTTAAATCGTGAATGCCAAAATTAACGACGAGAACGACTCGGTCGCGTCGCGTATAAATCACATTTTCCCAGGTTTCTGGCCGCGTCTT